ACTCATTTTGATTGAAATTAAAAAAACTTTTTTTTTGCCGATCTTATTATTTTATATATAAATTATTATATTAATTATATATTATTAATAACCGATAATATTATATTATATAATATTAATTCGGGTATTATTAATTAATTATAATCGGTAATTATATATTATATTATATTATAATATAAGTTATTATCTTAATATAATATTAATATATTACTTAATATAATAATTAATATGCTACCATATCTACCTGTTGGTATGGTCGGCTAAAAAATAATTTTTATAATTATTATCTTCTTCTTAAAGTGCCTATCCTCTTTGGATGTTGGCTATCCCATTGATCCATATTACTTTGTTCACTGCCGTTCTGAACAAAGCTGTTGACGTCAATCCGGTCCATGATCGTAGATTTCGCAACCACGATATTCGTCTGCGTCCCGCTGATCTTCTGCTTTCTATTTTCCCCTGCAGTACGAGTTGGAGTAGGCGGTATTTCTCGTTCCGCATGATGTGTCCGAAGTATTCTAGTTTTCTTCGTTTGACATTTACCAGAAACTCCAACTCCTTGTTGATGCGATGTAGTACAGTCTCATTTGACACGCGATGCACCCACGAAATCCTCAGCATGCGCCGATAGCACCACATCTCAAATGCCTCCACACGCTTGCATGATGCGTCGGTAAGGGTTCACGCCTCTGCTCCATATAGAAGGGTTGAGAGCACGTAGCATCTCAGGATTCTGATTCTAGTGCGGACGTTGAGGGACAGGTTGCATAGTATATTTCGCATTTTGTTAAATGTCCCTCTCGCGATTTCGATTCGGTGTTTTATTTCGCGAGAGTGGTCCCAGTCTTTAGTCAGGGTGCAGCCCAGGTATGCAACTGTCTCGGCCGCTGGGAGAACGATGTTGTTAGCAGTGAACTGAAAGTTGTTGATGTAGTTCTTGCTAATGATCAACGTTTGAGTCTTCTTGCAGTTCATCTTTATTCCGTATCTGCTGCATGTATTCGCCACACGATCTATAAGCCTTTGGAGACCTTCAGCGGTATCGGCCAACAGAACGGTATCATCTGCGTATCTCAAATTGTTTACTATTTCTCCGTTTATTACCAGCCCATCCTCTGTGCCATCCAGTGCCTCTCTAAATAGATGTTCTGAGTACACATTGAATAGCAGAGGCGACAATATACAGCCCTATCGCACTCCCCTCCTTACACTAAACTCTTCTGAAGTTTCGTTCTCGATTCGAACCACGGCCTTTTGTTGACGATAAAGTTTTGCTATTATCTCTGTATCTCTATCGTCTATTCCTGATTCCTGTAAAATCGAGATGAGTTTGTCATCAAAGGCCTTTTCGAAGTCTATGAAGCACGCAAAGACATCTACATTGACGTCGCGTGCTCGTTGGATTAGGACTTGTATTGAAAACAGAGCCTCCCTGGTGCCCAATCCCTTTATATAATACAACGCTATAATAATTATTATAGCGTTGCTAAAATTCCTTATTTTGTATTCATTGTTTACATTTCATTATTCGCGTAAAATAAGCATGGTGCTGAGTACCGGTACCACGGTTTTTATACAAAACTAGTTAAATGCAAATTTTCCTCTAACGGCGTGTCATGGACATGCACCTATCTTACAAAAGACATTGCTAATTTTCTTTTATAACTTTAAACATGCCTTACGTCTTACGCTGGTTAATTACCACTTTCTTTATATTGTTAAAATTATAACAAATAAGTGCTCGTTTCGTACCTCTTGCATAATCAAATAGAGGAAATTAAGAGTCTTTTAAATAAGTTTAATTACTAATAATTAGATGGAAAATGTGTATAGTTGTGCGTTTTAAATGCTTTCGTTTGGAGAGAAGAATTTATTTTACCGGTAATTTTTACTCCCACAAAATGTAGAAAATACATTGTTAAAGCATTAGTAGGAGAAAGTGCTGTTATGTTAAAACGATTTTTTTTAAAACAATTTTTGAATCTTTAAATTACTATATTATACAGGGCACGCATCACATATTCATAGTATTTTAACTGTAAATATTAGTTACCTTATATTATTTTTTGGACACTAAAAATAATTAGGTGAAACAAATTTGTAAGCTTTTATTTTTAGCGCGTATGGTAGGCTTACTTGCTCTAGGAGATGCGAGACCTTGTCATTGGTGGGGAAGCTCCTAGTCAGGTGCTAGAGGGAATCCCCATCTAGCACTTTGGCTGGGTCTAAGCAGCATATCACTGTCTTGTTCCTGGCTGTAGTGTCGTGAGCAGGGAATTGCACCAAGACGTATACGAGCCCTAACAACTATATGTTGAGACAAGGTCATATTTTGGAATTATTGCCCTGGTTTTTCAAAATGACTGAAAAATATATGTTTAATTTTTTAAATATAAACATAGCCATATATCCTAAACAACTTGACAATATTTTTATGAATTTGTAAAGCAATCCATATTTACAGTAGCGGATTTTGTTCATAAAAGGACAAATTTGCTGACAACTAAATGTTGGGACGAGTATTTTTAAATAATTAATATCATCATAGACGGCTTTGGTATAAACACAAATCACAAATGTCGCAAACAGTTTACTTCAGCATTGAAAGTGACTCGATACTTTGAGTAGTGAGGTTTACTGTAAGTAATTTTAATTTTTTTAATTTTCAATTTTGTTAATTTAATTTAAACTAATGTTCCGTGGAAAAGCTACAAATCAAAAACTATATACGCGAAATTATAATTCGTCAATACAGTACGGGAAAAACAATTCGAAATATTTCTGATGATTTAAGTATTCCAAAAACCACGGTCTTTAATATAATAAAAAAATACGGCGAATCTGTCAATGTAGACGTTAGAGGTAAAAGTTCGGGAAGGCCAAAAGTTGTATCTCAGAGAGATTTACGAAATTTAGTAAAATATTGCAAGTCTGCGAGAAGAAGCACTCTTCTTCTTCTTATCACGCCCTCTCTTGCCGAAGGTTGGCGATCCAAATGGCAATTGTGGCTCTGGAAACTGCAGCCCGGAAGATTTCCGCAGACGAGCGTTCAAACCATCTCCTCAAATCTTTTAGCCATGAGTTCTGGCGTCTTCCTACTGATCTTTTCCCTTGCACTTTGCCCTCTATTATGAGGCGCAGTATTTCGTATCTACCACCTCTCATCACATGACCCAGGTATTGCATTTTTCTTTCCTTGATGGTGCTCAAGCACTCTTCGCGAAGTAACAATTAAATGGAATACTGTAACTGGTTTAAATATATCAAGAGAATGTTGCCGAAAATATATCCATAAATGCGGTCTGGGATTTTACAAGGTAAACTTTATTTTGTGTGGATAATCAATTACCTGAAGATTATTGATACAAATTCTTATTTAGGCCAAAGAAAAACCGCTACTGACAGAAATCCAAAAGAAAAATCGCTACAATTGGGCAAAATCTAAATTATCGTGGACACAAAATGATTGGAGTAAGGTCATATTTAGCGATGAGTCTAAATTTGATGTTTGCGTTGGAGATCATCGAAAACGAAAAATACGAAATTAAGCAGAAGCCTTTCATAAAGATTGCTTAAAGAGGGTTGTTAAATTTTCTAAGGGGATTATGGTTCGGAGTTGCATGTCAGCAAGAGGTTTGGGTAAATTAAATTTTATAGATGGCACTGTTAACGCCCAAAAATATCAACATATACTTGAGACCTCACTTTTGCCTAGTGCTCAAGAATTGTTTCCAAACGAAGACTATATTTTCCAACAAGATGGAGCATCGTGCCATTCAGCAAAAATCAACTAATAATTGGTTCGGTAATAATAATATAAAAGTCCCCCACCCCCCCATCCCATCCTGCAAATAGTCCGGACCTCAATGTTATAGAAACTGTGTGGCATAAAATGACGCAATATTTTAGAAACCACCCTCAACGAACAATTTTTGATTTGCGGACAAAACTGCAGGAAATTTGGGATAATTTTTCTTCTAAAATGTGCCAATTTTTGGTAAATACAATGCCATTAAGAGTTCAGGCAGTTGTTAAGGCGAAAGGTGATTTAACTCCGTATTAAACAAATTTCTTGTTGTGCTATCCCAATATATAGTTGTCAGGAAATTTGGCTTGATTTTGGCAAAATAAGCTATTATCAAAAGTGATTTGTTTGCAAAGTTATAAAAATTTAGTAAAATTGTCTAGATCATATTTAATGTTTGAATTTAGAATAATAAACAAAATAAATTGAGTCTTTTTAACAAATTACTATATTTATTGCAAAAAAAGACCTTGTCCCAACATATAGTTGTTAGGGCTCGTAATCAGAGAACGATGCCGGATGGGACTACCCTTTCCGTCTTACCAGGTACCCTCTACTGTCTGTGGTTATGGATCACGTGCATAGGGTGTAGGGGTCGACATAGTAGACGAACTCCAAGGAGATCCAAAGAGGCAAGGAGATCCAAAGAGGCAATAGAGAAAGAGATTATTCATTATATCTTCTATTATCGATTCAGGACAACACCGGTATCAGGTCTGAGGAGAGACCAAGTCAAAGAGGTGGAGACAAAATGGAGACAGATCCTCGACTGTGAAGTGCACGGGGGGTTAAACCTCATTCGTGGAAGGGTGTATACCCTCATAGGAGGTAGATGTCCACTCTTCGGAAGATGAACAGTTGTTGTCAGTGGAGGATGAGAAATATCCTGTGCCCCTTCAACAGGAAAATCCCCATGTATGATGAGTTATAGACTATATGATGAGTTAAAGCTCAAGGAAGGGGGCCAAGATTTTTAAGGTCGCGGTGATTAACCCCCCTTCCACTCATTCTAAATTCTAAATGGTAGGCTTAAGTAACGTAAGTCGGCAAGCTGGTTATGAATAGGCTGTGGTTATACCTTATATTCAAACGTTTCCGAAATACATATATTAATATTTTAATTTCTAATAAGTGATTTTGTAGGTATATACAAGACAAATGACCTTGTTTGGGTGTATTTAGAACGCTTAGGGCCGGTTGTACAACGACTGGTTCAACAGAAGTTTTCTTGAACTGCAGTGATCTATAGTTCACCGTTGAACGTAGTTCAGAGTCTCAAGTGTTGTTCCAGTTCCCGTTTTCATGAACTAGAGTTTACAAAGAAAAAAGAAGAAAAAACCAACAGCATAACCTTCAAACTGAGTAAATATAAAAACAATTAAAAAATATTTTTTTTCAGATTTTCTGTTTAGGAGCAAGATTTAATTAATTAATTAAGCTTATTTTGTTCTCAATAAAGATTTGTATTTTCAATGATGTTTATTTTTGGTAATCTACCACCGGATAAATTTTATATTTGTACATTCCTATATAGCATTTTTTAGAAAATATCTACAACAAATTTTGAAAGTAGGTATTTATTAATGTGTAACGAACACTATTGTTGATTCCTCTTTGTACATGTCCAACCATGTCATTATTGACATTATTTGTCAGTTCTATTGCAGCTGCAATTTCTTCATTGATTTCTGGAGGCTCCACATCTCCCATTGATAATGCTATATTGTGAAGGACCACTGTAGACATAACAACAGCCTCTACCTTTTCCTGCTTCAAGCGTATTCCTAAAGAAAGTATCGGGAATCGCCTTTTTAAAACTCCAAACGATCTCTCAATAGGATTCCTTGTTCGTATTTGTGCCTCATTAAATAGATGTTCTGCTCGTGTATGAGGATTTAATAGAGGTGTTATAACGTATGGTTTTATTGTATAACCACTATCAGCTACAAGTAAGTTGTCACCATACACTCCATTTTCAAAGTCATTTCTGACTCTGCTATTCCTAAATATGTTGGAATCATGGGCAGAGCCTGGCCAGCGACACACTATGTCCTGAAATTTGAGATCAGAGCTGCAAATAGCCTGAACATTATATGAAAAAAATCCTTTTCTGTTTCTGTAACTTTCAGCATCTATCCCCCCAGGCGACTGAATTTTTACGTGAGTGCAGTCCAAAGCGCCAACACATCTTGGTAATTTAGCAATATTAAAGAATCCTTTTCTAACATTAGTTACTTCAGCTTCAGTTCTTGGCATTCTTACAAAGTGTTGTGCCAACTGAGCAATTGCTTCTACAACCATATATATTTTTCGGCTGGCTGTTGATTTATGGATGCCCCCGAAATCTCCAACAACTTGTAAAAAACTCCCAATGGCTAAAAAACGCAAAGCAGTGCATACCATTTCTGTAGGGGTTACTGCTTGGTTTCTAAAGGAGCAACAAATAAATTATGTCCATCTTAAAACTTGGCAGGTTAGTAACAAACGATACCTGTCTGTAACAGATGAGATTTGTTCAGATAATTCATCTATTATAAATCTAACAACTTGTTTCTCCAACCTAAATCTTGCTTTAAATTCTGTATCATTCCAAATGTTGAAATGATCTGGTCGTTCTCTGTAGACTTGTGGGGCTCGAGGATGTACAACATGATGAACCAATTCCAAAAAATCTTCGTCGTCCGTAATATCTTCCCACAGATGATCCATTATGTTTGATTGCAATAAATTAATTAATTAATTTATTTATTTACATTTTGCTTACCAGCAAACCCAATAATAATCATTTAAAACGACTTGAACTGGCCTCGAACGCCCAAATTCGGACGTTCAAGATCAATCGTCGATCAGCACCTGAACCCATAACGTACAACGTCTTTTACCCGTTGATCCTAAGATCATCGTGAACTCAGGATTAACTCCGTTTGTACAACCGGGCCTTAGACACATAAAAAGACATCAATGTTGAACTTGCTAAGCTCAAGGTTGTGTTTTTTGCAGTTAGTATTTGCTTTTGGTAGTTGGTAAGAAACTTACTGTACAAAACATACATTTATAAAACCCCCCTCAAAATTTTCCTCTATAGTTCCATCTACTGATAGCGGAAATTTTAGCTTTAATTTTATTTAAAAAAAGAAATAGAAGAATTTCGAGTTATTTATTAATGCAAGAGCAACGCTCCTATGAATTATATCAAATTAATCTGATAAAATTGACACATTTAACACCAGTTACAGTTTTACGACATAGTTATACAATATTTATCAGAGATTTAAAACCAGAAAAGTTTCATGTAATATGCAAAAATAAAATCATAATATTATCGTATTATTAAACTGAAAATGTGATAAATTATTCCATAATTTTATATTGTCATAACTCATAACATATAATTAGGATTATTATTGATACTCATCGACTAACGTGCGGTAAATACATTAATATATCATTAGATTTATATAGTTCATTGGAAAAATAAGCAGTATTTATGAATTACAATAGTTAGTTAAACCGGACAAACTAGTTTAGTTAAGCTCCTGTTAAATAACTGTATTAGGTATAAGTATCGTTCAAAGTAATAACAAATTAAGTAATAATTAACAATAAAATCACTTTACAGCTGTAGACAGAGGTGTAGGTAATATCCTTCATATACAAGGGTAGTAGTCAAGTCCAGAAGAATGACAAATTTGTGCTTCTGGGCTTGCTCTAACAAAAAAAAATTATGACAATAACTTTTTAATTTTTATTTGAAAATACAAATATTTTTTTCGCGAAAAAAAAACCTGATACATCTGGGGTCGAAATACATTACCCCTAACAACATTTGTACTTGTTTAAGGCTCATCTTACTCAATTTCAAATAGGAAAAATCTATACTGATATATAAAATCCTTAAGTGACTGACATACTGATTAATCACGATCCTGCTCAAACCACTTAACGTAAGAAGCTCACTTTTGGCACACAGGTTGATTCTAGGGTGTAGAGGTTCGATAAGAAGGGATTTTTCGAAATTCCAGTTCCAAGAGGGTGAAACCACCCCTCAAATATTACAATATTTTTTATTTAAAAAAACGGTAAAGTTTCCAAAAAAACGCTTAAACACGTAAATTTGATTTTGTTTTTTTACATATTTTAAGATTTTTTTAAAAATGTATACAGGGTATTTCGAAAAATCTGGTCATTGATTAATCACGATCCTGCTTAAAGCGCTTGACGTAAAAAGCTGATTTTTAGAAAACAGGTTGACTTTAGGGTGTAGAGGTTCGATAAGAAGGGATTTTTCGAAACTCGAATTCTAAGGGGGTGAAACTATCCCTCAAATATTAAAATATTTTTTATATAAAAACCGGAGAGTTTTTCGGAAAAACTCTTAAACACGTATATTTTATTTTGTTGTTTTACATATTTTAAGATTTTTTATAACTTTATACAGGGTGTTTCATAAAATATGGCCATTGAGTAATCACGATTCTGCTTAAACTGCTTAACGTATAAATCTGATTTTTGGCACTGATTGACTGTGGGGTGTAGAGGTTCGATAAGGAGGGGTTTCTCGAATCTCAAATTCCAAGAGGGTGAAAACGTCCCTCAAATATTACAATATTTGTTATTTAAAAAAGGGTTAGTCTTTCGGGAAAACGCTTGGACAATCATAATTTATTTAGTTTTTTTACATATTTTGATATTTTTTAAAAAATCATACAGGGTGTTCCAAAAAGTTGGGTAATTTTTTAACCACGATTCTGCTTAAACTGCTTGACTTAAAACCTTATTTTTGGCAAACGGATTTTTCGAAAGTCAAATTCCAACGAGATGAAACTACCCCTCAAATATTACCAAGGTATATAATAATATCGCCATATTGTTTTTTCTCATGCTGACAGAAATGTGAGAAAATTTTTTCCAGTTTGTATGTTAATGGAAATTCTTGCTTTGCTTTGTCATCAACATTACAAATGATTAATTCGACGCGAACGAAGTCGCTGGTACACGCTAGTAAAATATAATTTTCAAAGGACAACAATTTTAACGATAAATATATATTTTCACTTTAAATAAACTGAACTTTATTAGTGTTATTAATAATTGATCATTTTTATCATATTTAATTATATTATTAAATTTAAAAAAGAAACATAGAGAGTATGTCAAAATAATGAGTGTGTAATGAATGTCAATAGCAAATCAATCACACTTTCTCTTAAAATACGACATATAGTAGTCAATTATTTTAAAATAAGTCTTTTTTTTTATCTCTGGTGTCTTATCTTCGTATTTATACAAATTTAAGATTAATTTTGATTTATATTCCAACAAAATATCTTATTGGCAAATATACAGGGTCGCTGTTATGTATGGAAACGGTCGATTATTAGGTAAATTATAGGAGGTACCGCAAAAAGTTAAATACAAAATTTATAGGGTTTATAAATATCTATTAGCGGGTAATAAATTTAAGTATACAGGATAGGTCATAAAGTCGTGGCACATCAAAGTTTCATTTTTTTAAATGGAACCCCCTGTATATTATTGCATATTTCGGTTCTTCCTTCAATTCTAAGCAAAAATCGGAATACACACAATGTACCTCAAACCAACCGTTTCCGAGTTGTTGACTTTTGAAAATATCACAGTTTCATTTAACGATGCCATTGTGCCGAAACTGTGACTTCGGCAACCGGTTTCCTAAATACCATTTCTAAGGACTTTGAAAAATTGACATTTTGGTTTAAATAATGCTAATAAAAATCTGAAAAAAATATATAAGATGTGGAAGACATCAGAGTAAATATTTGCAATAATCACAACCATCCAGTCCGAAAAAATTGGTAAATTTTTGATTTTCTTAAATTATGCTGTATTACTTATCTCTTTTGTAAAATCTACCATAAATTGTGATTGTACGAACTAATTTATGATGATGTAGTACTTCGTGATTTTCCCGTCCTTGACTCACTTACCACAGATAAAAAATTATTTATTAAACTAATATTTTATAAATTTGTTTACCGTTTTTAAGATCACGATCGCCATTGCGAATATAGAACAAAGTTTATTGCGATCTCGACACGCAGATATAGGTTCGCATATTTGTCAGCTGCATTAAGCCTTTTTATTGGCTCAAATAGGCTTATTGTTTTGAAGAATTACGTACTTTGCTGGAAGTACAATAAACCGTTTGGCGAAAACATCGTTTAGTTGAGATAATAAGCCGGAATTATTTGGTTGGAAAATAACGCGATGTTTGTTTATTTTTATCTTGTGACAGAGTTAGAACAGTGTCGGTATCGGTTTTAAGTTAAGAAGACAGTGTTGGATTTTGTGGGTTTTAATGAATTAATATTATTTTTTTTCCTGGTAAGTCCATTTATTTAATAAAAAAAATGTTAAAAAATCATCTCAGTGAAGAGCGTCCCAGGATGAGAACCACAATACCTAGATCGGAGAACCTAATCGTTTAAAAATATTTTCAATATGGCGGCACTTGACAGTAACTTTCTTGTTTTAAATGGGTGCCCCCATTTTTTATTACATACTTAAATTCTCTGTAAAATTCTATGAATATTAATGTTAAACACTCTACACTCTATATCTAACATTACCCGTTTTTGAGAAAAAAAATTATTTAAAATTTTTGGACGAAAAAAACTACCTGTCAAAAAAATTTCTATAGCCTAAAAGTCAAATTTAGTGATTACCACAGCCACTGGGACATAAAGAGAAGACATATGGCTATTCATTTCAAAAATTAAATTGTTCAAATGTCATATAATAATGGCGGTAGCTGTCATGGAATTAAGTCATTAAAATATTATCATAAACAATTTTTTTCAAATATACGCTTTAAAACTAAATCTTAAATAACTCAAAAACGATTCATTTTAGGTATAGGAACATGTATAGTTAAAAAGAGTAACGAATTGAAAAGCCTTTTCACTAGTGAAGAGTGGGATTCCATTTGAAAAAAAAAATGTTTTCTGATATTTTTTTAATCGCTTAATTCTATGACAGCTGCGGCCATTATTATATGACATTCGAACAATTTAATTTTGGAAATAGATAGCCACATGTTTTCTCTTTATGGCACAGTGGCTGTGGTAATCACTAAATTTGACGTTTAGGCTATACACATATTTTTGACAGGCAGTTTTTTTCGTTTTTTTTTATTTTTTTTTCTCAAAAACGGTTAATGTTAGATATAGAGTGTTTAATATCAAAATTCATAAAATTTTACAGAGAATTTAAATACATAATAATAAATGGGGGCAGCCATTTAAAATAAGAAAGTTGCTGTCAACTTCGGGTATTTCCGGAAGGGCCGCCATATTGAAAATATTTTTAATCGATAGATTTCGTTGTGAAACTATGATGTGCAAAAAAAATCCGAGCTAGACTGATTTTGTAGTTCTCTAAAAACTTCTAATCTACGCTCAGCCTGGGACACCCTGTATATCAATTAAAAGTAAATAATATATCAATTAAAAGACTAATGCAATAACGACACTATTTTGAAACCATTCATTACAATTGCATTCTCTTCCACTTGCATTAACTAACACAATTATTGAAATATTACAAACGGAACATGCAAAGTAATATTATGAATATAGGTCGTCAATCGATTAAGATGAATTTCTATTTTATCTAACTCAACCTGAAGCTTCCAACATATGCTTCTGGCCACTAATCAGTACAAAAACCGACTTAGTATCTTTTGACCATGCGTACCGTCGACCATATGACGTGTACTTACTCTTGAAAAGACGATGTATTGGACTGATGGAGTTAGGGATGTTGGTATTTAAAAAAAAAGATCGATATTTTAGCAGATTTTATAATAATATCAGTGTAGATATTCGCTCGTGGCTCTAACTTCAAATTCAAATAGACTTATTATTAAAGATCACCTTTGTAGGAAGGCTCTAGACAAG